TAATTATTTATTTAGTAATTTATGCATTTATAAAATAAATGAAGAAATAATTTTTCAAGGAAGAAAATGATTAAACATTGTTCATTTGTTGTAAATTTTTGTGTAATGTTTGGATTTGATTTTTAGTTTGGTGCAAGATTTGGTGTAAAATGATGCAAAACCTACCTTAAATTTTGGTGCATAATTGGAGATGGTCTATCACCTCTACTCCTAATCTAGCAAAGCACGAGTATTGATAGAGAAAAAAACAATTCATACCGAATAGAATTGACAAGTCGTTAGACAATACACCACCGATATATACCCACACGACGTATATAAAAATGAATACTACAAGGAATGTATGCATATATCACACATGAAAAAAGTATGCAGTGTACTACAAAAATATATACGGTACCCATTTAATCTAGTTTTGCTATTCTAACATACATTTTTGACATGTCCAAGTGACAGGGCTGAGGTGTTCCATTTAATCACATGGAGAATTAGCTAATTAAAATATCAAATTATAATGATTTTCTTTTTTGCAAAAATTTCGATTCAAATCTTAGCCCTTATTTGATCCCTATTTTGAGGGAAAAAATGAATTTTTGAATAATGTATTGATGGAAATATGTGGTTAAAAAATATGGAAAATTTTTGAATTTGCGTGTATTATTATTTTATTGAAGAATGTGTGGTTGAAATGATATTAAATCACTGTTTAAGAATGTATTTTTTGAAAAGATAGACCCAAACAAAATGACAAATTTTTGGATATGTACGGATAATTACGATGCATTTTTTTGTCAAGTAGTCAAGGTTTGGATAAGGAGTTCGCGGCTTTATATATACACACTTGTCCTTTTCGTAAATTGATGCCATCTGTAAGTACAATGGTTGTCTTGTTCCGACAGCTTGAAAACGACATCGTAAACCAAACGCGGAGGACACACGAGGTCTGTTAGGAAACGGCGCCCATGCCCATCGCTTACAGGCGTAATAAATATTATGAGGAAACATTGGGGTTTATCATGCGCCGGACATTCGTTTTTGGTGTTTAGCGCAACATTGCCTTTATCCGGCCTTTGAAAAATTAAAGAGTCAGGACCACTTAAAATGGAATACGTAGTAGCTGACGTGGGATCCTGTTACCTTACGGCTCGATTTAGTATGAACCGCTCCTTCGGTTTTTCTTAAATATTTTTTTTTAGTCATGAAAATAAATCTCTTATTAAAGTTTAATACATTAGACTCAATGATTGACATAAGTGTGATAGTGTTACAAAAGAAAATAGGCCGAAGACTTCGTAAGTGTACACAACTACAAAAATCTTCGAACATTGGAGTCGAGGCAATACGGTCTGACTTTCACCCAATCCAAATTTATTGTAAGTAATATGACCAATTTTTTAAGCTCGTTCAAGTAAAATAATTATTTCTGAATTTATGAAATTGATAATAAAGTTTTTATAATTTTAATTAAATTTTTTTATTATTTATTATTTTTTTGTATTTATTTTTAGTGTGTGAATGTTGAGAATCTTTTCAACGCGTGGCGGACTAACATAAAATTAATTTAAATTTACTTCTAAATAAACTTTTATTAGACAGCCAAAGGTGTATTATATATTGCTTGATTGACCTAATGGCACATAAATTTTAGCATTATTTTTTGGATGTTTCTAGAGCATCTAGTTAATTGTATAGATCAATTATTTTTCTATAATTTATAAATAATTACTAATTAATAATACAAGTTTTATATGTTAGATTTTGATTGAGATCAATGATTGGTGTATTAATTAATTATTAGCACGGATGATTATTAGACAGGAATTATATTTACTAACTCCTACACTCAGCATTTAATTCAGCTAATATTAATTTAAAGTATTTGCTTATAATTTATTATTTCAAGAATTAAATATGAAAAATCCTATTTAGTAGAAATCGTTCATAGTCATCGGATATTTTAAATACTTTTTGTTGAACATGTTATTATGTTATGTGGTCTTTTTTTATAATTATAAACGTCATAATGTATGGAAATATGACGTGCGTGATTTTTTATTTTTATTTTTTGCTAAATTTAGTCTCAATTCACTGTCATTAAAAAATTGATAAAAATTTAAATCAAAAGTCAACAATTAACTTTAATCATACACCCATACGATCCACGGCTCTTATCAATTTTTCGACCATACATTTTATAAACTATTACCAAAATTTACTAAAAACTTAATTTTTAACTACGCGAACTTAGTATGATTACTAAAATTGAAATATGGTTTACAAAAAATCAAATGTTCAACAACACATTGATTGTCTTTTTTACAATGCATAATTCGATCAAGCGTGACTTCTGCTTATGTCAATACGTCTTTCAAGTGCCGAGTAATTATCTATTTTCTATTCCCATTAACTTACTTGTTTTATTATGAGTTTGATATTCACACTATCACGACCTCCATGAATCAACTCCTACAGTTAAATAGTATATATTAATCGGAATTGTAAACATACAGACTAATTCTAGATTTATTCCTAACTCAATTTTTGGAGTAATCACTCGCAATAATCCAAGGTAGGTGAGTCAAAATTAGGATACATTCCTAAATTTGACCTAATTAAATTTGCAGCGGCATGACCTAAGCGAATTTCATTTCATTTTCGAATACTAGGCCGTAATACGGACACGGGTCCCATTTGTACAATATTTCCTTCATAATTCAAATGCCATTCGTCCCACTGGATTTCCTTTGCCCCTGTTTCGACTCTATTTTATAAAAGAAAGTATTTTTCTCTCTATTATTTTTAATCCTATATTTTCTAATATCCTATATTTTCTAATAATATAATATTATATACAAAATTTATTTTTTATTTTTAATCACACTTTCAAAAAAATATTATTTTAAATATATATATTTTGTCAAAATCTATTTTTAATGAAGTCCAAACAGGGCCTAGTTGCATCAAACACAGCTCCTATTAATATTGGTTCCGAGGTTGACTCGTTTGATTTTATTTACCGCAACACGTCTCTAACGATGAATGTCCCTGTTGACACAGAAAATGAAAATTGGTTACCGGCTATTAGCGGTAATCGCCGCCTATAAATTTCTTATTCTAGCGTTTCGTCGTCAGTAGTTCTCTTTGCAGTTCACGGCTCTCTTTCTCTATATATACACATTTCGCTATATTATCTTAACAAATTTCCGAGTTTTATATTGCATGGCAATAAGCTTTTTGAATGGAGATGTATCAGACTTGTGCCTAGGAAAGCCAGCGATTAGGTGGATTCCGGCATCCGCCAAGGTCTCCGACGCGGTGACGGCGTTGAAGAGATCTGGAGAGACTCATATCAGCGTTTGGACGTTTGACAATATAACCAACGAGTCTTCTGAATGCGTAGGCAAAATTTGCCTGACAGATGTAATTTGCTTTCTCTGCAAAGAAGAAAATTTGGCCAATCCTTTGAAGGCTGTTGAGGCTCAAATTTCTGAGATTTTACCAAAAGTTCCTTCAATTGTCAGGCATTTGGAACCCAATTCTAGGTCCGTTTTGTTTTTTTCTTTCATTATTTTTGCCTTGGATTTGCGATTAAATTTGTTTATTACGACATAGAAAAGATGGAGATGAATTGCGTGACCAAATTACATACTTTTTCTGTAGATGTTTCTGTATATTACTTTGTATGATGTTAATTTGGCATCGGTATAAAGCGATCTAAATTTAGACAATTAATTGAGGAAATAAATTGTGAATTTATATATAAAATTCTGAATGCAATTTGAAGCCGATTTGATGTGCTTTTCCATCACCCGTATTGAACGGAAACCTAACTCAAGCTTGTTATTTATTGTTATTCATTATTTATTTAACAAAATTGAACAATTCTAAGAATTCTTCTGCTTTGAAGTTGTAATATGAGCTTGTGGCTAATGGCTATGTATTTATCGTATTTTCTTTCCTCTGCTCTAAGTTTAACATTTGTTGTATTTCCTGTATTCTGAACGTTGTTTGTTCTCACTTTCTGAATTATTCAGCTTATTGGAGGCAATAGATTGCATCCTTGAAGGCACCCAAAACCTGGTGATACCAATACAAAACCACAGGAGCACATTTGCAAGAAAAAAGTTCCCCAACAAACCATTCTCTTTCGACTCCACGCACTGTAACGGTCGCGAATACTGCTGGTTAACACAAGAAGACATTGTCCGTTTCCTTCTCAACTCCATTGGAGTCTTCTCCCCGATCCCTGGCATGACAATTGAATCACTCCACCTAATTGAGCACGACATCATGACTGTTAACTACCTCAAACCTGCGTCATCCACATTGGACTATCTTTCTCGCTCTCTCGTTGAGCAAACATCAGTCGCAGTTATTGACGAAGCTAACAGATTGATTGGAGAAATCTCACCGGTGACTCTTGCCTGCTGTGATGAATTAGTCGCAGCCGCAATTTCGACTCTTTTAGCCGGTGATCTATTGGCGTATATTGATTGTGGTGGTCCACCAGAGTACTTGGTCGAGTTGGTAAGAATGAGGTTGGAAGAGAGAAATTTTGGGGCTATGTTGGAACTGATGGAGGAATTCTCTAATTCTTCGACAGCATCTTTGTCTTCCAGTTGTTCCTCGGATGACGAGTCAGGTTCAAGTTTTTGTGGTAGCTCAGGACGGAATTCTCCGGGGAGGAGTTCAGAGGCAATCGTATGCTATCCGTGGAGTTCTCTTGTAGCTGTAATGATCCAAGCACTTGCTCATCGCTTGAGCTGTATTTGGGTTGTGGAAGAGGACCATACTTTGGTCGGAACTGTAACATTTGCCGGAATGTTGAAAGTTTTCAGGAGCGTTGTAGGTGTAAACCTGAAAAGAGAATTCATTTAAGCAATAAAAATCACCAGGATCGAACCATACATGGTGATCGCTCGAGTCATATGTCGATACAAAGCTTTTTGAATAATAAGATTGAATTTACGTCCTAATCTCAATTTGCGAACTAAACTTGGTTGAACTTATTGGTAACAGGCTCTTTATTATACTCTTGGTCTTGCTGAATTAGACAATACTCAGAAAAGAAGTACGAAGAAAGAGAAGTTACATTTCTGTACCAAGTAATCCACAAGAAAAAAAAATCCTAATTACTTCCTAAAACGACAGGATCTCTCAAAATTTCAAGATTTTAGCCACAAGCTTGCCTCAATCAATTGTGCTTTGAGATCAATCCTGCATAATATTCGTCCTTGAGTTCAGGCAAAACATCCTCGTGCTTGCGCACAAACTTATCAAGAAATTGCTTCTCTGTTCTGACCAAAATAGACATCAAATTATATTCCTTCACCAAACCTTTATCTACCAAAACTTTAACCACTCCACACCTCGGGACAATTCTCTTCTCAAAGTTATAAAACAGAGCAACAGGCCATTGCACAAGAATGGCAGGCGACAACCCCATCTTGTTTACAAAGAAGTCCATTCCCCGAGCAATTTTCTCTTCAGACAACCTCATACACAAAGGATGCGATCTAAACGCCGATTGAATCTCAGAATCCGACAAACCAAATTTCCTATAAACTTTCGCTTTGTTCTCCCATCCTTGTTTGTTACTTCCGCATAGCACATGAACTGCTTGGACGAACGTTGTTCTCAAAGGATTGAATCCCAAATTCATCACATCGTTTATCCTCCCTTTCAACTTCATGCAATTTACTAGCACTAAAGAAGGATAGTGAAGCATCACTAATAAGATCGATGACTGGGGTACGCCCATTCGTCTCAATTCATCTACATTAGAAGCCATCTTTTCCACATTAGTACCAAGTAATCTAACACTATTTCTCATAACCCCTATAATGTCTTTGTTGGCAAGAGGTATATTTTTCAGAAAATTGTAACTAGGAATTAGCTGCTTCTCTAGGCTTCTTTGCAATAAAAAAGGGTTCTTCACAATAATGTTCTGAAAGTGATCACCTGAAACACCGATGGAGCTCAAGAATTCGAGTTTCGGCAGGAGTTTCTGTGGATGGATCTGAAAAAACCTAGGATGCACTTTAGAAATTTTGGTCATTTGGGCATCGCTCAATCCATAATTTCTTAAAAGGGTTCGAATCTGCTCTACTTTCTCTTGTTTATTTGCAGTAGGAGAGTTGTCCGAAATCTTATAACAAAATGCATTCTGAAAAATACGCAAGGAGTACGAGTAACCCAAATAATTCTGCAGTGGGAATACCCTTTTACAGAGTAAACAAGAAAACATGATTCTTACGTTCTACAATGAGTTTGTGTTCTTGAAATGACTAAAATACAGTAAATAGAGGTATATCAGCTTACCGATTTTCGGGAAGCAAAAATCTGACTTTCATATTTTGTGATGCGTTCATTGATGTCGTGGTGCAATTGCTTCCCGAAGGGATTATACGCATGTGGTTTATAGTGTGGCGGTGGCGGAATTGTTTAGAGGAAATGGTTGAGGCTGCCGTTTCCGGAGCCCTAACTTCGAGAGGTTAATTTCAACTACGGTCATTCAAGTTTGTTAAAATGTTTTGGTGTTAATTATCCAAATAGTCACTGAACTTTTCCAAAAGATTTCAGGAGGTCGTCGAACTTCAAATTTCCTAAATAGTCGCTGAACTTCGCCCAAAATTCTCAGAAGATCACCAAATTTCAAAACTTCCCTAATAGTCACTAAATTTTGCATAAAGTTCCTAGAAAGTCACTAAATTAGTGATGTATGGATCCCAATTTGCAATTTTGAGTGACCCTCTATGAACTTTTTACAATGTTCAATGACCATTTAGAAAAGTTTAGAAATTTGGTGACCTTCTAGCAACTTTTGGCAAAGTTCAATGATTATTTATGGAAATTTTGAAGTGTAAATACAAAGGGCGTTAACTAATACAACTTATTCGATAGAGTTATATTTCATTAACTAAAGTAATTTAATCCCCAATTCGCACTTGTTAGGAGAAGGAAAGGATTTTACTATCCCCAATAAAATATTTTCTTCATCACAATTGACCAAACCCGACAAATTTAAAATTCAGTTCAACTCTAAATCGTTTTAGAGCCTTTAACGTTTGTTCTTAAACCTACATATTTGTTTTCAACGTGATCAATTGTTTTAAACAAATTAACTCTTTCACTCTAGGTGGCATTCGAAGATCAATTCAAACAAAGTAATTACAAATGTCATGATTCTACATTGGTATTTATGAGTAACATGCATGATTTAGGTTAAACATTTTCGACCTATTGACGTTATCATTAGAAACTTTAGTAACAAATAATATAAGAAAATTGCTTTAATAACTATTTTAAAATTTTTAACAAACTTCGAAGGCGGTGCGGTTTGAACGATTTTTAAATATTTTTGGCGGTGTCAATTGATTTTATATCATGGTTTTAACTATATAAATTCAAATAAGTGAATATATATATATATATATATATAGCACTGATATACTTAGATTGAAACCTTCTAAAAATAAATGTTACAAAAGTGATATATTTGTCTCGGTACAGGCTTAAATCAATAAATAATACAAGTTCAACATAAATTTTAAGTTTGCAATTTAATTTTTTAGATAAGAAAGAGTATTTATTATAATTATTTATCTAAATAGCCAATATTAGCCTACTAGCAAGTGAGTTTCTTAAAGTATAAATTGATTTAATATATTTTGGATAAATTGGGGACGATCATAGGGAGATAAAAAAACGAATCTCACATCAAGTTGCCACAAACTATAGAAATATAGTATAAAATATAGATGTAGTATTTTTATTTTCCTTGTATCTCAAGCTCTTTTTCTCAAATGAAAGAACTCCCTTTTATAGGGATAAATTTAACCCCCACAATTAAATCATTAAAATATAAATTACCATATGTTTTAATTTTATATTAAAACTTAATTTTTTGAAAGGTTGAAATTTATTTTAAGTTACAACAATCATTCACAAGTTTTAAGCTTTCAAAATAATTAAAATAAATAATAGTGGCAACACAATACCGTGCAATATGTGTAGGTATCTTTTGGATTGAACCTCATTTAGTGATAACAATTTTTATTTGAGGGAACCATAATGGATCAAGCCTTGAATTAGGTCCCTTTGGCCAAACTTCAGTTGTTCCATACACAGTATCGATTCAGGCTCAGTTCATTTGCGGGTAGCGCTGTTAATGGCCATGCGCTATAATCTTGATTCTAGTAAGAGTCTCTAAAGAATAGCCCAATCTTAAAATCTCTAGGGAATAATCCTCCAAGGGTGTGTGTGACCACACCTCGCGAGAATTTTCGTCTCGACACTCATTCGGGGTTAACCCTTCCTAACATCACATTTATTAGCACTATTATCATAGGGACGAGTACAAATAAATAGTGTTATTACAAGTCACGCTGTGCGGATTGTTTATACCACACTGAACATTATTCATGGGATCTCCAATCACACAGATTGAGTTGCTCACAGAGGTGACTCTCTTATGGTTTAAGCACATCCCCCTCACTGATTTATATATGTTCATTATGGACTATAACTTGTTTCATGTCCTTCTTGGACAATAAATTGGTATCATAATATTTGCAAGCTTTTATTCTCCGCTTGAAATTTGCATACTTGCAAAGTTTTCTTAAATTTTCTAAAATATCAATAACACATATTTAATTACAATAAGTAAATACATGAAGCTTAGAAGTTGACTTCTCGTAGCATGTTCGAACATATGCATCCGTTCAACTCTTGTATTTCACCTGCAATCTTTAGAATTAACCTGAATAATTTACTCAAAGCATCAATTTTACCACTAAAATAATAATAAAATATAAGATGTATTTATATTAAACATCCCCATGGATATCTAGCTTCAAGAACTTTCTTTCCCACTAGCTCTAGCTTTCCAGAGCTATGATTAATCTTATCCTTATTATAGTAATTATACATTTCTAGTTGAGTTCAAGTAATGTGGAAGCTCATTAGAAAATGCCAAAGTCGTCAGACATTCTATTCATTAATTTTGCAAAACATAAATTTAAGCAGCTCAATATACCTCCAATCAAATAACAATAAAACTATATCCCAATCTGCCATTACCCAGACTATAGATAAAAGAAGATGATAGAGTCACTTACTATTAGGTGTAGAGTAGTGCCTTAGCATTATAGCTTCTATATCTAAGCTTCATATTTTACAGCATTAATTTTCTTCACTAATAAATTTCTGACATCATCAAAACCAATCGACCACTTTGATATGATTTCGGATTCTATTCTTCTATTGATCTTTAACAAAATTGGTGATGCCAGGTCCTTTGGTAAAAGACTTCTTAAATAAGAAATCACTGATGCATCAATTAATAAAGGCATTAGGTGTAGAAGTTTCTTCCTTCTTCTATTATTTATTTTCCCTTCAACTTGCAGAAACAATATCATTATTGATATAGGTTGTTAGAGGAAACCACCTTCGACGGCAAGCAAAATGGATCACAGCACTTCGACGCGAGGTTGTCGAATCCCTAGGGGCGCTCTACCACTACGCGAGGACGTCGACCCCCCAGGGGCGCTCTACCACTACACGAGGACGTCAACCCCCTAGGGGCGTTCTACCACTACGCGAGGTCTACAACTGGCATGGGACTGTCTATCCAAACACTTTGCCATAAAACTCCTAGGGAATTAACTAGGTTCCATGGCTGCTAATACGGAAACAATCTCCAGGCGGGAAACTAGAGACCCCCCACTCAGAACGTGGGCATGATGGGAATACCAACGTGGGACACGTGGCACCACATCCGACCAGCGGTTATCCGTCCCCTAATGTCTATAAATACCTCCGGACGCGACACAGGTAGAGGGTTCTCTCTCTCTATCTCTCTTTCTCACCACTAGAATTCCAATCACATTTTTCCGAGCCTATAAACTAATTCTCACACCGGAGGTAAAACGGGGGAGGAAATCATGCCTTCATTTTTCAGGTCATATATACTTGACGGAGTAGACGAAACGCCGAGCACTACCAGGCAAATAGGAGGGTGTTGATCCACCACCATCTCATTGGCACCGTCTGTGGGAAACTATTTGAACTAAAAAGCCATGTGAAGAAGACAAACAAGGAGTGATACTCGCCTGGTTGCAAATACGACGGAGTCGGAGTCAGTTGCAAGGGGACGTGAGCCGCCACCACCCCCGCAATACGTGACGTAGAGTTAATTCAGCACTTTGGAGACTCAGTTGGCAGCAATGATGGCACTCCTACAGGACCAGTCGCAGAGAGCCACTGTCCCTCCATTGAGCCCGACGGAAGTGACGAGCCAGCAACCGCCTCAAACGCCACCCGCGGTTGTCCCGCCCATCTCTTGGCGGGGGTGGGGACAGGGGATGCGGGAGCCCCAGTGATCGAAGCTCAACAGCCCCCGCAAACCATGGTAGACCTGGAACAAAAGATGGAAGAAATCATGGCCCAGAAGATAGATGATGCCTTGTCCAAGAGAAATGATAGGCGGAGACAAATGGTTTTGGAGGAAGACCCGTTCGCACCAGAAATCATGGCTGTCCCCTTGCCTAAAGGCTTCAAACAGCCCATGATAGAAGCATATGACGGAGTCACGACCCGCTTGACCACTTGCGAACCTTCGTAGATCTGATGAGACTTTATGCCGCCCCGGACGCGGTGATGTACCGATCCTTTCCCCCCATACTCAGGAGGGAGGCTAGGGACTGGGTAGTAACCTTGGCCCCGCGGTCCATCAAGTCATTTGACGAGCTCTCCAGGAGCTTTGTAGCTTACTTCCTAAGCAGCAAGAGAATGAGGAAGACAGCCATTGGGTTGATGCAGGTCGTACAGGACAAGGACGAGTCATTGCAGGAATACTTAGCTAGGTTTAGCCGGGCAACTCTCGGCATAAGAATCCTGCAAATGTCCGCAGTGGTTACCGCCTTGATGAATGGAACGTGAAACCGGGCCTTTAAGATGTCACTCTCCAAGAACCCCCCAGAATCGATGCATGACCTATTGAAGAAGGGAGACAAGGATGTCGATGCGGAGGAAGCAGAGAAGATAACTAAAAATCTCAGGGATGGAAGGGAGGCGGAAGTTCATAAGCGAAAAACATATGACGAGCAAAGGCACACTGATAAGAACAAGTCGAAGAATGAACGCATGAACAAGGGTTATACCCAAGACCGACCGGTCAGGCAGAAGCAAGAGGAGGTCAAGACACCCCACCTCTTTGAACATTCCACGTACAAAGTTATTGATGGAGATACAGCAGATGAAAGAGCTCGAATGGCCTAAACCGATGCTAACTCCTTCCGATAAGAGAAATCAAAGTAAATATTGTCGTTTTCACAGAGATCATGGGTATGATACCGAAGAACGCCTACAGTTAAAGGAAGAAATTGAGCGCCTGCTAAGACGGGGACTATTGGCTAAGTATGTGAAAAATGACAAGGGCAAGCAAAGGCTCGAAGGTCTACCCCCACCGAGGGCAGGAGTGATAAACATGATCATCGGAGAAAGAGCTATGCG